ATAAACACTCCAGTGACTCCACAAAACCCAACAAGTCACGCAAACACCCCAACGCTCCAACTTGCATGAGGCCCACGACTTACTCGGGGCCCACAAAATCAACGGTTCACAGTTCGACCTCGCGGGCCCACTTTCACAATCAGACCGCCTCAGGAAATCACCACGTAGCTGATATTAGCTGGTGAGTTGCGTTTCCCACACACAAATGCTCACGCGCCCACTCTCCTTGCTCTTCCCTCTTCTTCGCATGTTCTCGGAGCTCCGGCTACAATAACGGAGCCCCAGCTCGCATCTCACTTTCTAGTTTCTTTTCTTTTTATTAATTAATTAATTTTTTTTAAATAAAACCACTTTTTATTATATTTTCGCCTTCGCCTCGTTCCATTTTTTTTTTCAAATTTTTCTGGTCATTTTTCTCCCTTTCATTTCGAACTGCGTTCACAGATCTCGCAAACCGTCGAAGATGGACAAACCCTGGGGTACTCTCGGCAACTGGGCCGCCGAGACTGAGCGAGAACAGGCCGAGGAGCTCGCGGCGGCCGCCAAGGTTGAGTCCCAGAGCTTCCCCAGCCTAAAGGAAGCCGTCAGCGCCAAGACCAAGAAGAAGAAGATGAGCCTCTGTGAATTCTACAACACCTCCGCGACCCCCGCCTCTAATCGTGTCGGCCTCACTCCCGACGAGATGATGCGCCTCCCTACAGGCCCCAAGGAGCGCTCTGCCGAAGAAATGCAGTACGGTCGCCTTGGTGGCGGGTTTCCCTCCTACGGTCGCTCTGGTACGAATCCGGGTCGGGGCGGGGACAGAGAGGGCGGGGACGGGTCGTGGGGTGGTGGTGGAAGAAGATCCTACGGTGGATTCGACGACGACAGGAGGGGCGGCCCGCCTTCTAGGGTTTCTGATTTAGATCAACCGTCAAGGGCGGACGAGGTTGACAATTGGGCAATGACTAAAAAGTCTCTTCCTTCTGTAGATTCCGGTAGGCAGAACCGGTATAGCTCGCTCGGTAGTGTTGGTGCTGGGGGTGGGGGTGGTGGTGGTGTTGTTGGTGGTATGGGCGGCCCAGCTTGGTCTAGGGCAGACGAGGTTGATAACTGGGCTGTTGGGAAGAAGCCTGCTCCTTCTAGGTCATCCCCATTTGGATCTGAATTTCATTCGGGTCCGGAACCGGATCGCTGGGCGAGAGGCGGACGTGAGGTCGACAGAGTTGAGAGAGAGCGACCCAAATTGGTTTTGGATCCTCCGAAAGTCGAGTCCGGCGTGAATGAGCCTTCGCAGGTTGTGAAGACCAATAAGCCGAACCCCTTCGGAGCAGCTCGACCTAGGGAGGAGATTTTGGCTGAGAAAGGGTTGGATTGGAAGAAGCGGGAGTCGGAAATTGAAGCCAAGAAGACGAGTAGGCCGACGAGTGCCCACTCAAGCAGGCCTTCGAGTGCTCAGTCAAGCCGGTCTGAAGGGCCCGGGCTGCATGCAAATGATAATGTGGTGAAGCCGCGGCCGAAAGTAAACCCCTTTGGTGATGCCAAGCCAAGGGAGGTTTTGCTGGAGGAGCGGGGTAAGGATTGGCGGAAGATTGATCTCGAGCTGGAGCATCAGGGTATTGACAGGTTGGTTTTGCTTTCTATTTTGTTAAATTTGTAGGTAGTGCATTCAGCTAAGTAATGGTTTCAATAAGTATGGTGAATTGGTAATGATTGGTTGATTGTTTTTTTTGCTATTAAGAGTTGCCCAGTTGCTGATGCTTAGAATATTAGTCATGTATAGTTTTAGGAGAAATTTATCTGTCTACTTTCTTCAAGTGGAATGGGGAACCTTTTAAGTCATTAGTGCTTTGCTAACACTAAAAACAAAATGCTATGTCATGATTTGTCATGAGGACTGTTCTAAGCATGCCCCTGTGAGATCCTGTATTAAAATTCGAATGTTCGCCATGTTAAGCTATAGTTTGTTTTTCCTTCAAGTAGCGCTTCGAACTTTTTTTTTTATTGCTCGACTTCATTTGTTACTTGCATGGCTTCTTCATTTCTTCATCTTAGTCCCTACTTACTTGCCATAAGTTGTCTTACTAGTTAATAATCGGGAGAATACTGCTGGAATTATTCCCAACAACTACCAAGTGCATACAAAGATGCTAGATGGGTTAGTGCCATTTGCCACCTTTGGGTTATGTGTATTGAGTTTATGTTTCAATTGAAAAGGGTCTATAGAAACGAGTAGACTAGTGTATGGTTGAAACAAGTAGATTATATTTGGGTTAGTGCTTCCTCTTGGGCACATTCTTGTCTTATTGTGTGTTTGTGGTGTGGGGGTGAAATGAGTTTACATAAACTTTTTTCCTCCCCTCCCCGACGAAGTAGATATTCATTGCATACAACTAGGCGGTCAGAGACATTGCACAAGGCCATGTCTTTTTCTTTGCTGGATGTTATGCTGAAACAGCCTGGTGTCTTTTTCTTTGCTGAATGAGTCTGATCTAGTCACAAGGTACTAATTTTGTTTTCTTTTATAAATATTCAAACCTGATTGCACCTACATGGAAATTATTAGAATTGCATTTTAATTGGTCAAATATATTATTCACTGGATTACCTTTCCCACTTGGCAGTAATTTAGCATTGCAAAATGCAGTAGGCAGATGAAACCTTATCAATAAACTCAAGTAGTTTGCCTCGTAAGCTGTAGGCAAACTATTTATTTTCAACTTTCTTGTCGTGGTTATATGTAGCCTGTGGGTGTCCTGTCGAATTGACCTCTTAAGCCTTTTGTTGCAGACCTGAAACAGAGGAGGAAAAGAAATTGAAGGAGGAAATAGATCATCTAAAGAAGGAACTTGAGAAAGAATCTACGGATAAAGTGAACAGTGAAACTGTGCAAGAGTCTGGTGGTGATCAGCCAAGTCTACGTGATATAGTACTACAGAAGGAAGGGAATTGGAGGCATTGATACGAGAATTTGATGACAAAGTTCGCTTTGGGCAGAAGGCCATCGATAGGCCCGGGTCTGGGGCTGGTAGGCCCGGGTCTGGGCTGGTAGGCCCGGGTCTGGGCTGGTAGGCCTGGGTCTGGGGCAGGAAGGCCTGGGTCTTCAGCAGGGAGGGCCGGTAACTTTCATGAGAGGACGCCGTCTTATTCCGGGTCATTTGAAGATTCTAGAAGCGTGGAATACGTAGATAGGTCTCCCTTGCAAGGCAAAGGAGATCCGTGGGCTAGGCCTTTTGATGACAGAAGGTCATTCCATGGTGGCAGGGAAAGAGGAGGATTTCTGGGGAGCAGGGACATGGGCAGGTGAGAATAATGTGCTTCTGTGCTTTCCTGTTTACAGTCTTATGGAGGAGGTTAACCTGTTTAAGAAGTAACTTGATCTGTTATGCTTAGGAAATAAATTTTTTCAATATGCTATTTAGTAGCCTGATCCCGGAACTCTCAAAGAATGCATTGGGAAAAAGTTGATTAATAGTTGTAAGAAAAAGTTTAAAATTGGATAAAAAAACTTTCAAAGAATGACCATTTGATTATTAAAGAATTGGGACATCTCAAAATAGCATTTTAAATGACTTAAAAATCCCTTCTCGACGATTTACGCCTGTGTAGTCAGCATAATATGTACTTTCAGAGCTAAATGTTTGTCTATGAATGCCTCAAAATGCATATGACGTTTGGTGGTTGTTTATTTGGCAGGGCAAGGTCAAGAGAAAGATGGTGAACAACTGCGCCGTTGCTATGGATTCGTTGAATTGCGCTTCTGACAAACAGGACCAAATAATATTTTGCCTCACTCTTTTTGTTTTCTTCATTTTGCTCCGGGAAATGGAGCAAGCATTATTGATTACCGGCACTGGGAAAACTCTTGCGTTGACGATCTATTGTTGCATCGTGAAACTATGTAAAATTGCAGTTTTCCGTTTTCTTTGTTGTCTGTTTTTTTATGTGAAGGAGCCTGTATTGTTCTTAGGATCCAATTTTACTGAACACCATGGGACTCAGTACTCACTAGCCTATTTTTGTGACAATCGTCTGGGAATTATACAGATATTTTGGTTCTTTTGTGCATGGCCTCGTTGCGGAACTCAATTTTCTCAATTTTTGTTGCGCGAATGCTTAACTCTTGAGTCCTACGGGATAAACCCTCGATCCAAATTCCATCTGAAGTTTCTCATTGATTTGTGTTTAAATTTGTTTTGTACTTTTAGCTCACAAGTCAAAGTTAAAGCCAAGTTTTCTGTGTCGACCATACAAGCGATGCCGTGGAAGCGGTATCCGGAGCCTATGCTTAAACTTTTCTAAAAGGCAGTTCATTGGGACACCGTCACCATAGCGTCTCAAGGAAGTTCTTCTCCATTCAGTGACATTGAAGTTCAATGGAGATTCAAAAAACCAATGTGGCGTAGTCTGATTCGTTGGATGTTTGACCAGCAATACTCTCGATTCTGACTACGATTTTGTTTTTGATGGAGAAGCTGTTCCGGAGAGGATCCTGGTCCGTTTATGATGATGATGATGAATGAATGATATCGCTACACATACATTTTTTTTTTTTTTTTTTTAATGTTTATTTTTCACATTTTGCTACCTGCTGTCCATTTAACCTAAATTTACGGATTGTAGGAACTAGGAAGCCCCAAATCAGTTTGTTTTCTTCAACAAATGAACCACAAGAAGCACAGCTAGTGCAGAAGAACACAACCATATAGCTCCATCACCTAACGTTCAAGTTACGTAAACTTTCACTTTCATCCTTTTCCGTGTCATTAGTGGTTTTGCTAAAAGTGCTTTTATTTGGTATCATGTCAAAATCCTTATGCTTTTGTAACTTTGAAACACTTTCATTTACAGTGTTAGAAGCGCTTTTGATTGTCTAAAAACGTTTTTAAACGTTTCAGAAGCAATCCCAAAGAGGCCGTTTATTCCCTTGTTTGGTGAAAAGGGAGTGAGAGACAGCAGTAGGAGGAGGTTCAAACGGACCGTGCAAGGTTAGGTTCTACCAATAGGCGGTGGAGAGGGCCATGGGGAGTGAAGAGTGGAGGCAGTGGCAGTTGGAGTGGTTGCCAAGTCCACAAAACACATCAAGTAATGGTTGCCGAGTCCCAGCAAGGTTTAACTTTGGCGATTCTAATTCTACCACGGATGATTTATCAGCTACATTTTTTCAACTTCCTTCTCCCTACCGCAATACATTCTTTGTTAAGCCTTGAAGTCTTATGGTCTCCGATATGGCTACGTTCATTTCATCAATGACAAGTGCTTCGGGCGGAACCTGTAATTTCTTTGAGTAGAAAATTGTTAACCATGAAAACAGCTACAATGTTGCATTTTCGCATGAACTTGTAAATGTTCTTAAAGAGATTACAATCTTGAACAAAATAGTGATATTGGTAGTCTTGCAGCGACTCTACCAACAAGGAGCAAGAGTTCTTTGGATTCACAACACAGGTCCCCACGGCGATTACCATATCCATTGTGGGAGGAAAGCGATTGTTAACGGCACTGAAGTTGAGATGGGAAGGGGTGCACTATTCCGATGCTGCAAACGACTTGATAGCCAACCAAACTATGGGCGGCTCTTTGTCTAACTCTCCAGCCTCAATCGCTGAAGCATGTCGCAATCCTCCACAGTTCTGATTCAACTTCAAGCGGATAACTTGTTCTATAAGTTTGGTACGGCTTTAATATTGTACTTAATCATTGAGGTGAGAGTGTTTAAATTAAGGATCCAACCTTGTTTTGTTGTTGAATAAATTTAAACAATCGATGTGGACACCTAACAAATGAAATCCAATTATATTTGCGATGATATCACAATTCATCTTTTATTTCATAAAATTATGTTTCCAGATTATGCTACTTGCCTGCCCGTTGACCTTCAAATCTGTAAGGCTATTCTATCGATTTCACAAAGTACGAAGTTCTTATGGACCGTGCGAGGTTTATTTCCATCGGCAGGTGGTGGAGAGGACAATGGGGACTGAAGAAGAGTGTGGAAGCAGTGGCGGTTGGAGTTGTTTTAGTTGCTGCTCTTTCAACTTCCTTCGGCCTTGTACCACAGAAGAAATCGTGCAGCGCTTGTCAATTCCCGGCAATGTATAACTTTGGGGATTCAAATTCGGACACTGGTAGTTTCTCAGCGACATTTTATCGGCTTCCTTCTCCCTATGGCTATACCTTCTTTGGTAAACCTTCTGGCAGGTTCTCAGACGGGCGTATCATCATCGATTTTATAGGTTAGAGCATCATCTGTTGTCATTACATTGTCTTCAAATTTAAGGCTACTTATAGACTTTTATTTGCCTTTCTTTTGCAGCTCAAAAGTTGGGGTTTCCATTTTTAAGTGCTTATCTGAATTCTATTGGAGCAAACTTCCATTGTGGAGCGAATTTCGCGATTGGAGCATCTACGATTCAGCCACTAGATGTCAGGACGTTTGGAGGTGGATATAGCCCCATCTCTCTTAACGTACAGCTTTCGCAATTTGCACAGTTCAAAGCACGTGTAAATGAGCTTTTCCCTCGAGGTAAGGATATATGTTTGCTGAAGACGTTTTACTTGAATAATATTTGTTCATTATGCTGCTGTTGCACTGAATGACGGATTGATTTTCAGATGAAAGGTCATACGTCAACGCCGGCCTCCCAAGAGCAGAGGACTTCTCCAAGGCCTTGTACACTTTAGACATTGGACAAAACGATCTTAGTGCCGGGTTAAGCTGGAAGACGGCAGACCAGCTGCTGGAAAACGTCTCCAGCATAACAGCGCAGTTAGCCTTGACAATCGAGGTAACCAGTTTCGATCTTCTTCTTATTCATTTCATGAATCACTATTGTCGGGTTAACTTTATTAACACGAAGTCAGAAACAATTTCTCTCCAGATTTTTTTCCGCTATAGTTGTCATATGAAATGCCTAAAATCCTGATGGCTCTATAAACAGATTGTTTAATATGTGCAGCAACTCTACCAACAAGGAGCAAGAGTTTTTTGGATTCACAACACAGGTCCGCTCGGGTGCTTGCCTTCAACTCTTGCGTATAAGATGGCAGAACCCGGCGACCTGGATAAGAACGGTTGCTTGAAGCGGTACAATGAGGTGTGTCAAGAATTTAACAGGCAGCTCAAGGAGAGAGTGCTTAAACTAAGAGCCAAACTTTCAGAAGCAGTTCTTACTTACGTCGATATCTATGCAGCAAAATACACACTTATCAGTGAAGCGGAGAAGTATGGTAAGTCTTTTCCCTCTTCATGCATTTAGCTAGTGTCTCTGTGCTTCATTTCTTCGGCGTATCCAAAACCCTAAACCCTTTTTTCTCCGTTGTGTGGAATGCGCAGGTTTTACGAGTCCTCTAGCTCAATGCTGTGGAAGCTACGGTGATGTCCCTGTCCGTTGTGGGGTGAAAGCTATTGTTAATGGCACTGAAGTTGGAGGTCCTTGTAGCAATCCTTCTCAGCACATTAACTGGGATGGAGGGCACTATTCTGATGCTGCGAACGAGTGGCTAGCCACCCGCATTATGGACGGCGCATTCTCTGATCCTCCGGTTTCAATCACCGAAGCATGTCACAAAACTCCACAGTTTTGATTCTACTTCAAGTATCCCGGTTGGGGTTGTAGCATTGCTTCGAGTCATGGTGCAATTCCGGTCTTGTAATCTTGGCACGTCAAAGAATACTCAACCGAAAATGAAACAAACAAAATGAATCTCTAATCAATTGGAAATTTAGTGATTCAAATTTGAAGCAATGACGATAACACATTTTCAGGATTTATTTTGTAGAATGAACTCTGATCGAAATTTAAGGTCACCTTTAATGACCAACTCTGTAAAAAATCAACCAGAAATATCGTTCAATTAACGTTGAGCCTAGTTTTTTGTGTTTCATGAACAGATCTGGGTATCTGAAAGAGGGAAGAGCAAAAAAAAAATTGAACTGTAAAATAGTGAAAAAAGACGACTTCACTGGGGATCGAACCCAGAATCTCTGGTTTCGTAGACCAGCGCCTTATCCATTGGGCCATGAAGTCCGGATGCCGATTTGGCTAGGATTTAATTTATTTAATTATAAAAGGGCCAAAAGTTGAAAGCAAATTATTAGGAGGGTGTAGTCAAACTAAGGGGGGTGTAGTAGTCTTGGTTATATATATTTTTTGCTCTCAAATTCCACAAAATTTACAACTTATTGAAATCCTCTAAAATCTTAATTTTTTTAGTACACTTAGATTTGGATGGATTTTAAAATCCTTTAAAATCTTTTAATTGACTACATTAGGATTTTAAAGTCTTTTAAAATCCTCTCAAATCCGAGTTTGACTACACCCCTAAGATATTAAAAGATTTTAAAAGTGATAGATTTGATAGGATTTAAGAAGATTAAAGACTCCTACAAAATTGATATGCATTTTAAATAATTTGAATGGACTGTGGTGGATTGTGGTGGAAGGTTTTGAAATCTTAGGGGATGAGGTTGGTCTCTTTTTACTCTTGGCTATATATACTTTTTATTCTCAAATCCATAAAATCTACAACTTATTTAAATCCTCCAAAATTTTAATTTTTTTAATACACTTAGATTTGGATGGATTTTAAAATACTTTAAAATCTTTTAATTGACTACATCTAGATTTGAATGGATTCTAAAATCTTTTAATTGATTATACCTAGATTTGAATAGATTCTAAAATCTTTTAAAATTCTTTAATTGACTACACTTAGATTTGAATAGATTCTAAAATCCTTTAATTGATTACACGTAGATTTGAATGGATTATAAAATTAACTGCACTGGAATTTTAAAGTCTTTAAAATCATCTCAAATCCGATTAGACCCCTCGTGAAAAATGCCAGGCGCTTCCAGTCAAGACCGATAAAAGCGAGTTGTAGGGAAACTAAACAAACACAAATCGACAAATTCGGCTCCAAAAGCCAAAAGCCGATTTCAGCAAGATAAGTGATTGTCTTTTCTTTCTCTTCTTCTTTGTTTCCTCAGACGGTATGGAATCTCATTTCTCAAAACTACTAGTTGCGACTGCTATGTTAATTTTACTATCAGTGAGCTTGGCAGCCTCATCGTCTCCATGTAAATTTCCGGCCATATTCAACTTCGGCGACTCAAACTCCGACACAGGCGGCTTGTCTGCTCTCTTCGGCCAGGCGCGTTCGCCCCACGGTGAGTCCTACTTCCACAGCCCCGCCGGCCGTTACTGCGATGGCCGTCTCGTCATTGACTTTATAGGTACTTTTCCACACTTTTCATCTTCTTCCGCAGTGTTCCAAAACGTCCCGCTTAAACATGTCTAGATACTCGCCTCGCCTAGACCTCCTTAGTTTTGAGTTACATTTTGATCACTTTAGTTAGAAATTATTTGATTTTTTTATTTAAAATTAAACACAAATAGTATCTGACGAAACGATAAATGATTATAATGTATGAATTTTTAGAATTCCTACAAAATGAATCCGGAGACGATCCTCTTCCTTTTTTTTTACCATGATGATCGATTCAACTATTCATTTATTTTTTTTGGTCGTGCAATTATTCATTTCATGTACTTGTTTGTCGATCATTTGAATAGAAATATTCCACCGACGCTTAGGTTGATTGTAGAGTGAAATAAAATATTATGTCCCAACTCAGGAACTTAATAGCGGTACGTTTATGTGACCTGCATCAAAAGTTGCTCTTACTTTAATGTTACGTTTTTAACGTTGAAGTACGTCTCAAGTTCGAATAGAGTTATTAGGGTTCTGTAATTGCAATTCAATTCTTCTTTGATATTGACGTGCGGGAAGTTCTTAGTGCAACCTTCAATTTTTTCAGGAAAGAGAAGATTGGTGCTTCGGACATGGATTGTCAATGAAGAACTAATTTTGCTTAACCCTTCCAAAAAAAAAAAAGTGTGACGTGTAAATGTGGATAAGATAATTGAGTCAGTGTGGGAAGCAACCAAAAACGCCAACCCGCCTCTGTTTTAACTTATATGACATCACATGGTTTTATACAGGAAAAGAATCTAACCAAATCAGATTATCTGACAATTAGTAATTGGACTGAATCTGTAATATTAGTACTAGGGGTCTAGTTTAGCGGTTCTTGGTCGACTCACATGAACGACGTTGACGTTTATAGTTGTTTTGAGTTCGATATCTGATTAAAATTTTGAACATATTGTGTGGTTAAGCTTAAATTCGTCGATTTAAAGTAGAATATAATTGTATAATAAAAATATGATATTTTGATTGAATGTTCTGTTTGCAGCGAACAGCCTCGAGTTACCGTATCTTAGCGCATATCTTGATTCTGTGGGAAGCAACTTCACTCACGGAGCCAACTTTGCCACGGCGGGCTCAACCATCAGGCCGCAGAACACAACCATTCGCCAGAGCGGGTTTAGTCCCGTCTCCCTGGACGTTCAGTACAATGAGTTCTACGATTTTCAACCAAGATCCCAAACCGCTCGTAGTCGAGGTCACAATTTGACATGTGCACATATACTTTTCTTTCTGTATTTTAACGGGTTGCATTTGTGCGTTTAGCATATGTGGCAAACTATGATTTGCACGTAAGGAAACCGAGCAGTGTCCTTACGCACATCTACACTGTTTATTCGTTGAGAAAACTTGTATCAATGTAGGCTAATCCAGAAGATCAGTTGCAATGCAGGTGGAGTTTTTGAACAGCTAATGCCTAAAGCAGAAGATTTCTCTCGTGCTTTATACACATTTGATATTGGCCAGAATGATTTAACATCCGGTTTGTTCTTGAACATGTCCACTACCAAGTCAAGGCATATGTTCCTGATGTGCTAAACCAGTTTAACAGCATTGTTAAGGTAATTAGCAATTCAAACTGTGCCTAAATTTGGATTTAATTAGTCGTTAATTTGGTTGTGATGTGCTTTCTATGTGTACTCACGCAGAATGTATACAATCAAGGAGGTAGATACTTTTGGATACACAATACAGGTCCCTTCGGTTGTCTTCCCTACGTATTGGACCGCTTACCAATCCCAGCCGCGCAGCTTGACAAGGCCGGATGCGTCACGCCTTACAATAAACTTGCTCGGTTTTTCAACCGGGGATTGAAACAAGCGGTGGTTCAGTTAAGAAAAGAACTACCATTGGCTGCAATCACTTATGTTGATGTTTATTCAGCCAAGTACTCCCTCATTAGCCAACCACAAAAGCATGGTAAGCCCTTCCTCGATTGAAACCACTTTTGTCAAGTTTATGATGTGGTGTTTTGTATTCTTCGACGGTTTGCTGACATGTAATACAAAATGTCGCAGGATTCAAGCAACCGATAAGAGCATGTTGTGGTCATGGTGGGAAGTACAATTTCAACAAGCACATTGGATGTGGAGGAAAGATTAGGGTTCATGGAAAAGATGTGTTAGTGGGAAAGGCATGCCAAGACCCATCACTTTGGGTGAATTGGGATGGTGTGCATTTCACTGAGGCAGCTAACAAGAGAGTCTTCGATCAGATTGTAGATGGTTCACTCTCAGACCCACCAACTCCATTGAAATTTGCTTGCCATGGAAAGCAGCAGCAACCTCATTAGAATTTAGATCTGATGCTATCTTTTTTTCTAAAATTCAAATAAAATACTTTATGTCATCAGAATCTTTTGTTAATTTAATCTTTATTTTTTGCTAGGATTGAGGACCAAGTGGTGACCTAATGTCTCTCCAAAGTTTTTAAATTCATTTTTTTTCATCTGCTTTCTCCTTCAGTCTGTGTGTATATGCATTCCCTATGGAATCACATTCCTCAAGAATACAAGTTGTGACCACTTTGGTGTCGCTCACGTCGAGCTTGGCACCGATACCATTGGTTTTGGCCTCGACTTCATGCAAGTTTCCGGCTATTTTCAACTTCGGCGACTCAAACTCCGACACCGGTGGCTTCTCTGCAGTTTTCGGCCAGGCGGGTCCGCCTCATGGCAGTCTTATTTCCACTGCCCGGCCGGTCGTTGTTGCAATGGCCCCCTTGTCATCGACTTCATAGGCACACTCCATTTTCCATCTTCTCATCCATACAGTTTGCAAGTATGGTAGACTACTGGACTGGTAGCTATTGCCTATACTCTAACCTCAACGAATATACAGTTCATTGACCTTTTTGCTGTATTTTTTATTTTATTTTTAGTTTCCGTTGTGCCATGTGATCGAAAACGATCTACATTATAACACGTGGATTAATAACATCTCTAAATAATTGCTCAAGAAAAATTATCTAATATTTAACACTCGATTGAACGCTTTGTTTTCAGCTAAAGCCTATGATTTCCATTTCTTAGTGCATATCTTGATTCAATGGGCAGCAACTTCACTTTGTTAGAATATGAGCATGAGTATGAATCGGTAAACTTGGTTGTAGGATTAGAGATTGAGTAGGAAGTCTTGTTGGGAATGGATTTGTAAATCCATGTTGTAATGAATTGGAATTCTATCCTTATAGAATTTGGCTAAGATTGTATAGTATATATATGGTGGCCTTTGCTCTCGCAGTGTGTACTCGATATAAGACTAAGACCTATTATTAGTTGAGAGTCTCGTTCACTGAAGAGAGGAGAAGGTGCACCACGACTTTGATGCAGAAATCAGGCATGGCAGCAGCTTCGAACTCTTCTGCGTGTATGTTTTCTCTCTGTGCATTGCTTTATGGTTTATGGTTTTGTGTTTTGATCACGATAACTTGCTTTGCATGATCCTGGTGCTGTGTTTATGCTAACACACTCATGGAGCCAACTTTGCAACGTTATCCCCAACCGTAAGACCCCCGAACACAACTCCTCGTCAAAGTGGAATCAGTCCAATCTCCTTGGACGTCCAATACGACGAGTTCTACGATGTTCCTTCTTGGAGATCCCAAATCGTTCGTAGTACTACTTAGATTAATATCTAGTTTTCTCTAGTGCAGCTAATTGTAGCCTTTTAAATAGCAAATGTGTCGACTGTCAAGCTAATATTGTTCATACTTCGACCTTACAGACTTCAATGTAGGTGGAGTATTTGAACAGCTAATGCCTAAAGCAAAAGATCTTATCTCTCGCGCTTTGTACACGTTTGATATTGGTCATAACCGAAAACATCAATTTTCTTAATCATAATTTAAGGATCACATGTACAAAAGATCAAAGAAATTAAAATCGTTTAATCATGAGTATCTATCAAACAGATGAACGCATACACACGCAAGTACTATCTTTCTTTTTAAATTCTTTTTTCAAGACCATGCTATCGAAGTGAGAACTGGATCCTCTCCTGAGCTCAAAATGAAGATCTTCATGAGCAGCCTATTTAGGCTATTCAAATTTGATCCAACGGTTATAATTATTAAAACTTTTAAAGGGACCTCCTGTTTTAAGCAGTTAAATCAAATTTCAACGGTCCGAATAGGCTGCTCAGGAGAGGATCCAATTCCATCAAAGTGGTCAATGCAGTTGGCAAGAAACAGATAAAGAAAGACCCCCTTTCGTCGTCTCTCAATAAAAACAAGCCGTCTACTTTTCTATACTTCCCCCCTTGAGTCTCTCTCTCTCTCTCTATACACTCAACACATGGAATTTGTTTTCTTAAAACATCATGTTCTCTTCGGCCTTGTAATTTGGGCAACACTGCTTCCGAGTCCCGGCATTTGCACAGGGCCATGCTCTTTTCCGGCCATATTCAATTTCGGAGATTCGAACTCGGACACCGGGGGTTTATCTGCAGCATTCGGACAAGCCCCGTACCCCAACGGAGAGACCTACTTTCACGTCCCGTCCGGCCGTTTCTCCGACGGCCGTCTTGTAATCGATTTCATAGGTACTGCTTCTGCAACTTCTTTCTGTTTGCCAGCTATGATGTTATGATCAGATTCTCAATTAGGAACTTTAATGTCTCTGTTTTCCTTTGCTATAATGTTTGTTTCACTTGAGGACTGTAAAATTAATGTGAAAATGTCACATGCATAGATCTCAATTGTCTCAATTAGCAACTCTAACAGACCAAACTCAAATATTTAGGTCTATTAAAAGACAGAATTTAAGTCTTTGGATAGTGAATGTCACCCAACCATCCCGATTTAAATTTCATGACCTAAAATATTTTAATTAGTGTGAAATGGTTTTAACCTTAATTTTTTTTTTCAATAAGTATTTTTTTTGTAACTTTGAGTTAAGTTATCTTAATTTAGTTTTACAAATGTTTTAACCTAAAAAAAAAAATTAAATTCCGACAAAATTTAAAAAACCGAACAAATCACACCAACCAATCAAACTTCAATATACATTAAAATTTTGTACTTTTTAAAAATTTATTTTGTTATTTTGACCGTTTTGGATTTAAATTTTAGCAGTTAGATGGGTTTACCTTCAGATTTTAAAAATATATATCTGAACAGTTAGATCAAATTAAAAAATTGCCCTAAAAAAAAGAATTTTGATCTGTACCGTAGGACATCGAAGTGATGTGTGTTTTTGAAAAGGAGGGTGGGTCCCCCGTTGGACATGCGAGAGCAACTTTTACAACGGAGGGAGGCCGCGCGAGATCAAACAAGATGAAATACAAAAAGATCTTATATGTAGAATGTGTCTTACAAATAACACGATCAAGACATCGCTGCACTTGTGACCTGACACATAAAGTCAGTTTTATTTACACGTCCAAATTATACTAATTAAGATGTTATTTTCTTGCTGTTGTTTGAAAGCGGAAGGCTTGGGGTTGCCTCATCTGAGTGCATTTCTTGACTCGATAGGATCAAACTTCAGCCATGGAGCCAATTTTGCCACAGCGGGATCAACCGTTATATTTCCAAACACAACCATTTCCCAAAGTGGGGCGAGTCCCATCTCATTGGACGTGCAGCTTCTTCAATTCTCCGACTTCCACACACGATCCCAAATTTATCGCACAAAAGGTTGGTTGCTCCTCTACCAGCCTTGAATTCCTTTTATTTCTCGAGCCTTTATCTGACAGTTAAATTCAGTAATATATATTTAATGCAATATAGAATATCTACGCTTGACATAGGTGAATTATTTGAGAAATCGCTGCCGAAGGAAGAGTACTTTTCTCAAGCCCTATATACCTTTGACATCGGCCAAAATGATATCACTGCTGGCTACAAACTCAATTGGACCGCAGAACAAGTCAAGGCATATCTTCCATATGTGCTCACCCAGCTCTCAAATGCCATCAAGGTTGATCTTTCTTTCGTTTTCATTTCAAGTTTTCTTTATATTCTCACCATCAGTAGCTCACTCGCACGAGATGAGTTGATAGTAAATGTATCTGAGACCCGCAATCTATCAACGATTAGAAATGGTTCACAGGCGCGTGAGCGGCTGATGTTAACGCTACTTACAATTTGATATGGTTCTTTTACAGAAAGTATATGGTCAAGGAGGAAGATCGTTTTGGATACATAACACAGGCCCACTGGGCTGCCTCCCTTATGTTTTGGTCCGCTTCGTCACTGATCCGGCCCAAATAAATAAATATGGGTGTGCGGATCAGATCAATGAGGTGGCCCAATTTTTCAATCAAAGATTAAAGGAAGCTGTGATTCAACTCAAGAAAGATCTTCCATTGGCTGCAATCAACTATGTGGATGTCTACTCAGTAAAGTACACCCTCATCACCCAAGCCAAAAAATATGGTAACGCCTCACTTTGCTTATATGATTGGAAGCAAAAGTTCTGCGATGCATCAATGTATTGCTCACATTGCGTTTGGTTTCATATAAAATTTGGCCGTCCAGCTGAGTAATGTATTTTATACACCGATTCTTAGTAAAAAAAAGTTCACAATTTTGAATCTGTAGGTTTTGAGAATCCCCTCATCGCATGTTGTGGTCACGGTGGCAAATATAACTTCGACCGGTACGCAAAGTGCGGGGCCAAGAAAATTATCAACGGCACAGAGACGTTGATAGCCAAATCGTGCGATGATCCAACGGTTCGGATCAACTGGGACGGGACCCACTTCACGGAGGCAGCCAACAAGTGGATATTCCAACAAATTGTGAATGGCTCCTTTTCGGACCCACCTAACCCGTTGAAAACGGCCTGTCGTTGCAGTTAGGGAGGACCACTGAATCACCAAACTCACGCTTGTGTTCTGTGGGTGTTTTTTTCCTTTTGCTTTTTCACTTGGAATGTATTATTGGGCTTGTTTTTTTGCCAAACAGAAGAATATCAAACAAAAGTGGATGGGCCACCAAAGAGGCCCATCATCCCATGCCTCGAGGATTTATGTTCCTGTCGTTTTAGAGGTTTGCGTGCATGTCACGTGATTGGCATGCCGTTATGGGCCAACCCTAGATTTTTATATGTTTCTTGTTTTCACTTTGGTACTTGCCCTTTTCAGAAGATTCAACGGTCAGATCCTTGAATAAGAATATTACTTTATATCCAAGGGTTTTGGATAAATATACCGTCTAGGTTGCGACTCTCATAAAAATATAAAATAGATTGTTTTTATTTTTATTTTAGTTTTAATAAATTATAAGAAACTTGTTAAATGCTTAGATGTACACTAATTATATGCTTGTTTTCAATGTTTTTAATATGTTTTAGCACTTTATAATTTATTCATCATTCTATTTTGTAATTTTTGTAACTCAATACAATTAATATAAATAATTTTTTTTTTTAACAAACAATATTATCTACTATAAAAGAAGAGGTATTATATAGTAAATTTAACTAAAATTAAAAAAATCGCATCTACTCCACTTAGACGCCCTGACACTAAGTCTCTGCCCGTTTAACCAACACCTGAACATAAAATTTAAGTGATACAAACACAGTTATCTCATAATCACGAAAAGAATTTGACTGTCGCACGAAAAGAATTCGACTCTCACACAAACTATCAGAAACAATTATACTAAAAAACCAATAATAAAATTAAGTACAAAAAGAAAAACAAAGAAGGAAAAAAAAACAAATATATACGTCATAAATAGGTAATTGGATAAATAGGATTTGGAGGATTATGGGACAGTGATCCAATGTGTCCTTGTCTAATCATGTTCCATGCTGCCCAATTCCAGCTGTAGCAAAAACTCCTAAACCACTTGGCCCCACCTCTTCATAATTCACATCATATCTCGAAATCTCACTCTTAATCTGCATCAACGTGGACCCTTAATCACCCACATTTATCCTTAATTACTTACCTTAACTTAATCCAATCATGCCGCTAATCACCTCATTCTACCTTCCACGCGTAGACAAATAAGGTAAACACAGAGGATGCCCCACCTGCGTTATCATGCTCGTCTCCCACACCAGAACCTACCTTTTCGGTCAAAGGTTGATCAACGGCCGAAAGCGACGGGGGCTCAGCCGTATGCTCCGCCGATACCGGCTTAAATATAAACTTGCCGTGCCTCGGACCGGAGCAAAATAGCCAATCATGAACATCCCAGAAAATTTCAACTCTGTTTCTGTTCACGTCAACACAATCATTGCCTCTGAACTTCCAGTGAAGCCGCTTCACACGAACGGCTTGGATCCCATCAATCTTTATCTCCAACTCCGGATCAGACCCATCTGAGCCGTTGCTGCACTCGATCAAAATCTCATGGAAATTCTCCTTCTCGTGAAACTTGATTCGTGTCGAAAACTTCCTCTTCCCGAACAAATGCTCCCTCCTCGAAACCAGAATTGGCTCTATGAGCGACGGCCGGCAGCCAGTTTTTCTGAATGCGTCTTTTTTCTGATCGCCAACGAGCAAAACCACCTCGTCTTCGCAGACAATGGCGACGTAGTAGTCCGATTGTGGCTCCGTTTCGCCGTTGAATTTGGCGGCCTTGAGGTCCCAGACGACGTCCACGGCGCTGCCGTCCACCGTGAATTGCTTGGAGCCTTGCTTGCGCCAGAAGTACCACGGCTTGAGCTCAACTTTGCACCGGTACTCTTCGTCTCTGTTTTGGCCTTGCACCGAAACAGAGAGGCCGTGGAGTAACAGATTCTTGCACCAGGTGACGGTGATCAGCCGGCACTGGCCGGCTATCTTTGTGCTGTACACTGACATGAACACGCTCTGCCCCGACCTGATCACGCCGGTTGGGGTTGGATCGTCGGCCGGCCTTGGAGTGCCGGCTGTGAAGCAGGCCGGAATTCCAATTGAATCGTGCATGGTTACTCAACGAAATGTAAGAAAACCAATTGATTTAACGAACGAAAGAGGAATGCGTTCGATTAGCTAAGATCCTCCCGGAAAGAATTTCGCAGGTTTTCTTACAGCATGGCATCCAACCCAAACTGGCAGACTTAGAGGAAGAGAGAAGCGAGGCCGAGAGGAAACAGTTTATATTATGATAGTACAAGCGATACTCTACACTAAACTTAAAACGTAAAGCGCTTACGTTTCATGTAAACTGTGCGAGCTTTTTTCCCATCTATTACTGGCTTTCTGTTTATAACAAAACCTACTTTATTTCGTCTTGGAAGTGGTTTGGGTATGGAGGATAAGTTCGATCTCAATAAAATCTATCTTTTTCATGCATGGAAAAAAGCAAACGAGCACCTTTTTACGAAGTTCATGTGACACCGTACCAAAAAAATAAACAACTCAACAGGTTAATGTTAGGGAGGGCATATGGGTGGGGTATGGGAGACTAATTTGGATTAAATATTAAATAATTTGGATTAACGATGTCGGTAATTATGTTTCCACATGGTTTACGTGATTTAATTAAAATTTCTACTGTTTTACCACGTCTTTTTTCACTCCAGGATTGAACGGTAGGGAGCGAGTTGTGTGTGGGGAAGTGAGTAGATAGCAGGAATCCTGGGTGGCAGGTGCAGAAAGATGAGAGGAATCTGCTTTGCTCCAACTCAGAGTCTCCATCACTCTCGAAGAAGCTGAAATGGTTATTAAACGAGCTCTAAGGGATTATGGCGGGCGGGGAGATTTACAGTCTGTATATAGAAAATTTGGTGAAATGGAAAGAACGACATTTCCATGATACAATTAAGACAAAGGAACAGATTAAATGAATCGATTGTTACCTTTCTCAAGAGTCAGTTTGATCGACTACTGAAGTTGCAGAGTCGGAAGCAGCCTACTGAAGCTTCATTTATCACGACTTACGTTCAGTAGGGCAATTACAGTCGCTCAGGTGCGCACACAACATATACATCAAAGGTGAGCAAGAAGCACTAACGAAAGACTGGTGGTCCACGAGTGCTATCATTGAGCTTTTGGAAAGAGAGAAAGTGTTACTTGCAGTTAAAGAATCTAACGTATAGCTATGGTACCTGCACAGCTTTCTCTATAGCTAGCTTTCTGGAATAATATGCTTATGTAGATTTCTTATGACATTGATGAAGATATACGGGTGCAAGGCGATCATATGAAGGATAACCTTCAGCAACTCAAGGATGCTGTCAGGAAGACCATGCAATGTTTCTGTTATACTGGTAGATTTGGTTGAAGCTGTAACACCTCTTGCTGAAAAACCAGCAGCGCGTGATCGAACTGATTGAATTTGGAAAATCTTTGCAAGTTGCTGTAGGAGAACCTGTTGGAAAATTAGGGTCTAATTGTTATTTTAAATCACATAGAAAAATCAAGAAATAATTCATGCAATTATATATCAACTGAGCATTTTAATCGAGAATGCTCAATTAAAATGATACCAACCATCAATTTTAATTTGGTATTTCTTTTGGAGATGGTCGAACCTGCTATAGAAAGCCGCATGCATATATGGATCAGTCTTATGTAAAATTGTGTATAAAGATTACAAACTTACCGTATAAAATAACAGACATGATTTCATGTTATATGACAAATAATGTCATTTCGAAATCGAATTTGCCCATTATTATTATGCAGTGCTTTAGGTGGAGATTTTTATTATTATTTTTTTTTTAATTTATTTTTTGAGAGCAAAGCTAATATGCATTACCAACAACAAATCACAGAGGCCCAAAAACAAAAAACACAAACAAACAACAGAGGCCCAACCAAAAGTTGAGACCAAAACAAAGAAAACACAAAAACAACCGAAGCCGCTGTGTCTTTCGCGATAACCGCCTCTGCAACCACCAAAACAGCAGCCATGCATGTCGATCCAGCCAAATTTGCTCCCCAAACAAAGCCTCGCCTCACCGATACCAGCAGCCAATTCCAAGCTTCACTCCTAACCCAGCTACAGACACCAGAGAACCTGCAGCCAAGTGAAAGAAGCTCATGGCAGTCCACGAGCAACACTGCCAATAAGGGCAAACAACAATGAGAAGGTGGGGGTGCAAGGAACACCCGACCCAGTGCAAGCATCAGATCAAAGCACACCAACTCGAAACACCGCAACAAATCAAGGCAAAGGGTGATTGAAGCTTGAAAATTGGATGAATATGGATGAGAGACAGCAGAGATGAGAGAATAAGGTAAATCAGCCAATAAAACCAGGAAATAAAACAGCAGATGGAAGAGGAGAAAGAGAGGGAGACAGAAACAAAAGAAAACCCACCGATCCTAGGCAGAGTTAGGACCGGCGGCACGGGAATTGGACTCGATGAGGAAACACTCACACAGATCGGTGAGATTAACCCCCAGACAGAGGGAAGATCTCTCACGGAGAGAGAAAGGAAAGTTTTGTTTGTTTTTTTTTTATTTTTTTTTTATTTTTTTATTTGGATAGGTTGCTTTAGGTGGAGTTACACATATTATAATGAAAGTTTTGGTCATATGGTTCAAGTTTGGATGCAAGTTTTAAGGATTGAATAGTTTAAGATTTCATGTTCTAATGATTGATTAGATTTAATGCGTTTGGGCCCTGCTTTGAGCCTTTTGGGCTTTTTCATAATTAAATTCTGACCAAAACCAGGGGAATTAAATAAAATAATAATAAAAAAAAGTTAAAAAGGGATTGAGTAGTCTACGGAGGGTGAATTTAATTAAGAATTTAAGAGATTTTAATAAATTTATAAATCTATCAATTTTGATAGGGTTTAATTGATTTTTAAAATTTTTAAGTAAAATTTTGAGTGAATTCCCTCAAATTCTCAAGGAATATGTGAGATTTGAAAATGTTTAAAATAAACTATGAAATCTCTCCCATTCTTTAATTCACAAATTTTTTAAAATCCTTTAAAAGTAACTTCTAATTGCATATACATACTTAGAAGCTTATAAACTCCTTTCAAATCCTAATTGAATACACATAAATTTTTAGATAATCACTTAAAATTCTAATTTTGTACCCTCTGAATTTGTAAGAGGTAGTGCTATTCACACATCCTTTTTTACCTTCCACACACCCTTGTTAGTTTTGGTTCATTAATCATTTGTAATGCATTCGATCTGACAGCCAAAATTGAAAATGGTGTGTAAAAAGTAAAAATGAATGTGTAAAGAGTACTATCCTTTGTAAGAAAAAATTAAAAATTTTCAGGATC